TGGAATTAGGGTATATAGTTGGAGTTAGAATCAAGATTCTATCTTGGCGGGGGAGGGGGGGGTAATTCTCCATGGGGTAATTGACAGGGGGTGATTGTTCCGGGGGGGGGGGGGGTAAATACGGGGTCTGATAATGTCAGGGGGGTAATGCCCTGTAGCCAAGCACATTGCCCTCTAACAAATTTTTATTTTATAAATATTTTTTTCTATTAAGTATATATTAAAATATATAGGCTTGTAATTTACGAACAATGGGTTCTGACAATTATTTTTTTTCTTATTTTTTTTTTCTGGGGGGTTCTGACAACTACATTTTTATTAGTCAGAAATGAATCACATATTACTCAACAACCAAAACAAGAGTCATAAAACCCAAAAAGAAAACATATCCAACATACAGTTCCTGTAGAAATGGAGATACACAAGTGAAAAGAATCCGAAAATTCTTGAACAAACAAATTTATATATTTATATTTATTTATATAAAATGTGTGATTTAACGAAGTACAAGAACAGCAACATTGTATTTCTTTTTACCCCTTCATTTTTTATCGACTCTTGGTAATCAAAATTTTTTACTTTCCCTTGATCTTTTGTTATCCCAAAATGGGAAATAACTAACAATCCATTAACAACATCATAGCAGCTATTATAAATTAATGTAATCTATATTATAAATATAAAAAACCCAAAGAAACGAAGACGATTAAAAACATTTTTTTTTCGATTACAAAATCATCAAATTTACAATTATTAGGAATATCTGTATAAGTAGTCGTTAAGAATAGGCCTACATTTTTTTATGTTATTATTATTTTCAAACCACCTTATATTATTGTATTTGAAAAACATTTCATTTTTTTATAATGTAGTAAAACAATATTTATCAAGGACTACTAATTATGAAAAATCACTATAAGAGAACTCGTACAATTTTAAATTTAAAATAAATCCGCGGTAGTTTCCCTTTAATTTGACTTCTCTACTGAAGGCCTGTAAGCTAGTGTAAGCAAATCGATAAACTTAACACAGTAAATGGCAAAAATGTATAGTGATAAATATAATTATTTAGATTAAATTTGAATGGTATTGTATACATAATATTTACATGCGAAATCTAATTGAGTGTATTTGGGATGAATATGTGTTAAAGAGGGGAGGGGGAAGGAGGAGATAACTAAGGACGTCTCTTCTACTCTGTTGAAGTCTTTGAATTTGTATTGCCGTTCTTTCTTTGTATTATTGATTAGTTAGTACTAGAATTAATTAACTTTTCGATATAAGCGAAAATTATTTTTAAAAACTGTTCATTTTTATTATTTCTTTAATTTTCGTTTATTTGTTTACTTATATTCTGCTCAACAGTCCCTGAAATTAATGGGAGAGAAACCCTTACAAACACAATAGTTGATTGTATTCTTTTCATCTGCCTTTTCAAAGTTTTTTACTTATTATAATTTAATAATGTTTATATAGGGTTCGAGTGTAACCCTAACCCTAACCCTAAGTCCCATCCTCTATCAGTTCTGAGGGGTACCAAAATGGCTAGGCAGTGTGCTGACCACACTGTCCCTTCACTTGCCGAGGTCATTTAAAATGCCTCGGTCTTCCCCGTGAGTCTTTGAAAAGTTTACGAATAACATTAAAAATAAACAAATTCATAAATCACGTTTTAATAACAAGCTTTTATGTACTAATGCACTAAAAAGTATAAAATAAATTATACACTACTATTTAAATTACTATAAAGAAAACCGTGGGTCACTTTAGTACTTTAGTAACTATTGGATACCTTTACTAATATTTGAGAAGAGACCCACGCTTTTCTTTATAGTAATTTAAATAGTAGTGTATAATTTATTTTCTACTTTTTAGTGCATTAGTACATAAAAGCTTGTTATTAAAACATTTTTTATGAATTTTCTTTCAGTACTTTACATGTTTTATTAACAATAGTGTTACATGACCAAAAACCATTGCGCGTCTATTGAACGTGATGGCGCAGCTATTGAACGTGATGGCGCAGTTATTGAACGTGATGACGCGTGTGGTGTGGTTGGATAGACATGCCTACTAATTCGGTCCAAATTTTAATTAATTCATAAAAAATTAATTAGGCATCCAATTAACTCAAATTTAGTTTCAGATTGCATTGTCTTCATGTCTTGACCCACGTGCCTACTGTGAATTTTCGCTCCGGCGTTTCGATCTCGACAGACTGACGACAATCTGATGACAGACTGACGACAGACAGAGGAAGTGAGTTAAATAAAAGCTTGTAAAAATTATCTTAGTTCTCATGAAAAAGATAAATAAATTCTATAAATTTTAAGTAAACATTTCTACTGGGTTTTTTAGAGATATTTTCCAATTGATAAAAGGTGTAGTTTAATAATTTAAATAATTTAAAAATTCTAGATCCAATGCATTTTATGTGTTAAATGTAAAGATGACTAGAATTAAATCGCAAAAATGTGAATCTTTTAATTTTTATTTTAGTGTGAAGATGACTTAAATTAAATCACAAAAAAAATGTGCATCTTTTAATTTTGATTTTAAAGGGAGCTAAAACATCTCTCGACAAATCGGTGTTTTTTTTTCAAGAGTTATGTGCCTTTGAATATTTTGAGAATAAAAGTTAGAAAATCATTAATAGTGAACCCAGAATACAACTATTACAATAAATCAGCGTTACTTTTTAATACAGATATACAATTTATGTATTTTTTATATCAGCTAAAAATGTCCACTTTAAGTGAATTATAATTATGTCTCTGGCTTTCAGTTGTTGAAGGAAATAAACGTTATCTGCAACATTTTTGTTTAATTAAGGAACCTAATAACGCAGTCTAAATATAAAAGTAAAATATAATACTCACCGCTATATACAATATGTATACTACACAGAAATATTACCTTGGTGATATTTGGATACAATGGAAAATAAGGATAGTTTGAAATTTTTACTGTCGCAGTGGCGTCGGTTTGTCGTGTTTCACCCAGCGCGGCACCCATTTTTTTTACTGTAAATTTCGCGGTTGTTTTCACCCCCCCCCCCCCCGTAAAAGCTTTAAAGTATTCACATTTAATACTAACGATGTCTGTTTATAGTCGGTTGTTAATTCAGCTGGGTGTAGCATTGTTTTCTCTATAGCAAGCATGTGTACTTTCAAAGTGTCAACCCCCCCCCCCCCACTGCCCTCCTCCCTCCTCCCTCCCCCCGTTTGTCGGGATCATACTTTTACATTTAAAATACTTTTTTACTCTAATTTATCATTCTTTGACCTGGCAAAAAAACACGTGTCTTGCTTTTTACTTTCTCGTATATACGAAGTATAGAGAAAGTATTGTAATCATGCAAAAAAATCTCTTGAAATTTTAACAATTTTCACCGTATTACACCTCAGTCATTCATCTCATACGAAGTATAGAGGACTTATTTTAATCGGGCAAAAATTATCAATCCAGATTTATCAAAATTAAGAGGTTTTATGCGTAATCCATTCTGAAAAACTGGGCTTTGCAATTCTGTCTGTATGTCTGTGTGTCTGTCTGTCTGTGTGTGTGTGTGTAAACACGATTACTTGAGTACCGTTACAGCTAGGTTGATGAAATTTCATATATAAGTATTTTATCTAAATCGTAGATCCGTACCAACTTTTGAGCGATTTCCGATAACCGGAAGTGGTACTTTTTCTACTTTGAATTTTTCAAAAACCTATAACTTGAGTACTATTTCAGATAGATAAATGAAATGTCACATGTGAGTAAAATATCTAATTCTCTACCTTCCGTTGACCAGAAGTAGTAATTTACGCTACTTCCGATTTCTCAAAAAACTAATGTAAATTTTTAAAGTACTAATAATATTGCACACTATTATGCTCTTTTTTATTTGGCGTTCACTTGGTGTGCAATTCTTTTGTCTACGAGATTTTATTCTATTTTTAAAACTTTAAGTATTTACAATGGATTAAAAATCATGTCTATAGCCCGAGTTCCCATCCCCTGTTGTTTTATATAAGAATATTCGAGAAAGTTTAGGGGAGATCACTCCCGGTTTATTTTGTCAAGGTGTAACCCCCCTCCCCCCCCCCCCCCCCTCTGACTAGACTTACTAGATTATGATGCTAGTTATATAAACAGTCGCTTTTCTAATGACTCTAATAAGTGTGTACATTTTTGATGTGGCACGCTTAGTGTCCGGTTTTGTTTTGTTTTTTATTTCTTTGCTTTTCATTAAAACCATTTATGTAAACACGGATGAAGTGAAGTTTTTCCTGAAGAGAATCTCGACGTAGTAGCCCATTGAATCATGTTTGTTTTAACTTAAAAATTTGATAAACCTTCGTGGACGTAATTGGAAGAATCACTACTTTAAAAAGCTCGCTTCAATGTTAATTAAACCTGTCTAACCAATTATTGCTGTCTATAAAAATTTTAATAAAGATTCCTTTTTGGATAAGAGATCCATTGAGCAGTTGAAGTAGAGTTTATATGTTTCTTGACCTCGGCATGTGAAGGCATAATGTGGTCAGCACACTGCACAGCCGCTTTTACTTTTCCTAGCGTGTGTCAGGTACCCATTAGAGCTGGGTGGACTGATTTCAACCCGGACTCGAACTCGAGACTTTCGGGTTACCATTCTAGCGCTCTACCGCTACTCCTCGCAGTCCTATTTAAATTTCTTACTTCAGTGATACCTTTTTTAATTAAACTTATTTCAATACAACATTTATTTAAAATATTTTATTTTTGGCACTTCAATAATAATAATTTAAAAAAAAACAACATAATAAATTATGCATCAATGGCTTCAATGTATACATGACGTCATAACAACATGTCAGCCGTCATGCTCTCCTACTATGACGTTATCGTAAGATGTCAACTATTGTGTTTTGATTTCATCACAGCCGGTCAACTCTCTGTGCTCTGTCGTCATCACAATCGCCCGGCTCTTCTGACGTCATCACAACAAACTCCTTTTTTCTCTGACGTCATCACAACAAACTCCTTTTTTCTCTGACGTCATCACAACAAACTCCTTTTTTCTCTGACGTCATCAGTCTGCCTGCCTGCTTCCGTACTCAGAGATCATCACAACACGTCCAACACTTGTGCTCTGACGTCATCACAACACGTCCAACACTTGTGCTCTGACGTCATCACAACACGTCCAACTCCCGTTCTGTGACGTCATCACACCACGTCCAACACTTGTGCTCTGACGTCATCACAACACATGCAACTCCCGTTCTCTGACGCCATCACAGCATGTCTTACGGTGCTCTGACGTCGCCACAACACGTCATCCTCGCGCGCTTTGACGTCATGACAACAAATCCAGCCTGCCACCCTTCTCCAATATCATCAGTCCCATCTCGGCAAAAACATCTTTCCCGTTTTTGATTTTCTCCGGCGACGACAGCGACTCCGGGGGTTTGGGGACAGTGAAGTGGAAAGCCCGGGCGTCCCTCCAGTCAAACGGCTCCACCGGTCTCTGGTCGTAAATACCCCGGATGTAGTTGGGGTGCCAGGTGGGGTGGCACACGCCCTCGAAGCAAATTACCTGTAGAGGAGAGAAACGTGGACACAGGAATTAGAAAACAGGTGATCGATGATAAAAATTTACTCATAAACAGTGTTTCTTTCAGACTTTTTTCTCCGGGAAGGTTGGGGGGGGGGGGGAGGGGCACTTGATATTTTGTGAAGTGAGGGCGGACTAAATTTTTCCGGGGGCGGACACTGGTAAAACTAGCAGTTTATTTAATGTTTCTACCCCGTTTGGCGCCCTCTACGGTCAGCGCCCGGGGCGGCCGTTCACCCGCCCTACTCTTGCTACGCTACTGGGGCTGAATATCCCCCGAAGAGATGCCTTGAAGAAACTCTGGTGATTAGGTATCCAAAAATATGATATTTTCTTAACGCTTCTTCATAACCAAACTGTTCTAACTCCAATTTACGAGCTTTATACACGATTCTGTTCTACATTTTCCTGGAAATCATGTCAAAAAAAATAAAAAAAATTGTATAACACCATGTCCTTAAAATTTACAACTGCTTAGGACACCAATACTTTAAAGCCTTGTTAGGAAAATGTGTGAAATCGTGTTGGAACAGTCTGGTTCTATATTTATTAATGTATGCATGTTTATATGTGTTTTTGTGTGCATGCTGTATGTTATTTTCGAAATGTTGCTACCCATATTAAGTTTATTATATTCTAATAAGAAAAAATAAAATTAATAAAATGAAAGATAACTGCCGTAAATAAAAATATTTAATTTCTACTTGTAGCCTCCCTTTGTAATGAACTATATCTGTTAATGTGGCATACTGTGTAGAGATAATAATAATACATTAAACAACATACTTATAGTACCAAACCTCACGTCGCAAATTTTTCATATAACAGATTGTGTATAAAAGTTATATATTAAGCACTTAATGCTTACGATTTAAAGCCTTTCTACCTGTAAGTAATTAAAACAACACATACCTAAAGGTGCCTGTCAACATATTATACCTAACTATGCCTACCTGTATGTCATTAAAACAAAACATACCTGCAAATGCTTTTCAACATACTATACAGCACTATATCTACCTGTATGTCATTAAAACAACACATACCTAAAGGTGCCTGTCAATATATTATACCTCACTATGCCTACCTTCATGTCATTAAAACATACAACATACCTGTAAATGCCTGTCAATACAGCACTATATCTACCCGTATGCGACTAAACCATAACATACCTGCAAGTGCCTGTCAATATACTATACAGCAATATAGATAGATATATATACCTTTATGTGACTAAAATACAACATACCTGTAAATGCCTGTCAATACAGCACTATATCTACCCGTATGTGACTAAACCATAACATACCTGCAGATGCCTGTCAATATACTATAAAGCACTATATCTACCTGTATGTGGTTAAACACAACATACCTGTAAATGCCTGTCAACATACTCACTGCACTATATCTACCTGTATGTCATTAAAACAACACATACCTGCAGGTGCCTGTCAACATACAAGGTGTCAGGATGCTGCTCGTATGTCTTGTATGGCATGAAAACAGCGTTGAACGCCCACTTATCGTCTCTATAGTAACTGGAAAAAAAACACACACGTCTGTTTAAAAGTTCATGAATTCTAATAACATTTTTAGAGAAAATATACTATTTCAATTTTTTATGTAGACACAGGTACTGAAAGGGGAGTCGACTGGGCGTAGTACTTAAGTAGACATGGAAGTAGTTTTAGAACAAGGCAGTGTTTCTTTCAGACTTTTTTCTCCAGGGGAGGGGGGGGGGTGGTTTATTTAAAAAACTTTATACCCGAATGCAAAAAGCCATATGTAACCAGAGTTTCTTCCAAGAATCTCTTTGAGGGGGGAGGGGGGGGGGGTTTAACCCCCCCCCCCCCCTCGAACGAAATGAAATTTATATAATTTATATAGAAAATATATACTTTTAACAGTGTCCGCCCCCCCCCCCGAAGAAAGTCTACCGCCCCCCTCCCCCGATATTTTCAATTGCCCCCCCCCCCCCGGAGAAAAAAGTCTGGAAGAAACACTGTATGTAACAGTAAAACAATTCCGCCATCCTTCCCATCAGTTTCTTTGAGGCATCTCTTCAAGGAGGGGGGGGGGGGTGTGAAGCTATAATACGATGTGGATTAAATATATGATGAAATGTAGTACCTGTGATGTTGTTAAATTAATCACATATATGATGTGATGAAATGGGTTGTAAGGAATATTATGTTTTGGTTGAGCATAACTTTGTCAACCCCTTTCCTTCGCATCCTTCTGTATGGTGTTGCGACCCACAGATTGGGAAGAAGGATTTTTATTAACAAAAATAAATAAGTGTTTTGACGGTTTAGGAAGTATTAGTAAGCATTTAATTGTTTAACATTACCTTTTTTTAATAAATATATTTTGTAATACTGCTAGTATTTTTTCATTCAAATTAAATTATAGTAGTAAAATTGAATATTTCTAAAAATATTTAACGTTTACTAATTTGCATATAATGTTTTAAAGTAAATGTTTTATGAAACAAAAATGTATAATTTGCCTTTCCACATTTTGTTTTAAAAACTAAAAACGACTTTTGGTAACTAAAATATAGGTTGTCTCCCTTTAACAATAAAATTTCATGAATTCAGGAAGCAATTAACATAGTTGAATACACATAAATCAAATCATATTTTTCCAAATATATTATTCCAATAAAAACGTACACATCTTTCAACCCTTAAACCAGTCACTTGTTATTTTCGGGGGGGGGGGGGTCGGACTAAATTTTCTTGGGGTGTGGGGCGGACACTGGTAAAAGTATAAATTTTTTATATATAAATTCCATTTCGTTCGGTGGTGGTAGACGTTTTTCATGGTTCCCTTCCCCCCCCCCTCCCCCAACAGATGGAAGAAACTATGTGGGGGGGGATGGTGTCAGCTTCTCTCCTTTCTCAACACTATTAGTTAGTCACGTGATTAAACACATACATTACACGCAGAAAGGAAAAAAATATGTTTGTTTATAAAAATAGAATTTAATGTTTGAACTAGTCTTATCGTTTTATGCTTGAGATCTTGTTTATTTTATCCAATTAAAAATGTAAAAAAAAGCAAATATTCAATGTTGTAATGTTAGGCTATGTTTGCGTTTGATTACGAGTCGGACGTATCCCCGTTTAGTTAACAGCTATAACAACATTTATATTTGAATGTGTATGATCATTATAATATACACAACGCATGCATTACAGGTTTGTGTTTCTATAGAGCAGTGTTTGAACTGCAATGTTAGTATTGTAATACGAAGAAAATTAATCTTTAGTAGGACTTAGTTCTAGTGGAACATGCTTTACTGTTCAAGTTGATGAAAGGGTAATATTTGTTTTGAAATCGAAGCATGGCGTTGCTTTTGTGATTTGGTTGGCATGGCAACTTGTCTCAACAGTTGTGTTGGTATTGAAATATTGTAAGGCATGTTTGTATTCGGTAATGGTGTTTTAGCATGCTCGTGTTGTTTATTTAATATTCAGTTCAAGCTGAACGGAAAGGTTTTTTTTTTATTTCAATGGGCCCATTGATAAAATTTAAAGCGATTTTTTTTTCTGATGTGATCAAATTGCGAGTCACATTGAGGATCTAATGCATGACGTCAAAGAAACTAAACAAACGAATTTCAACGTGTAGATTTTTTCCCCTCGTTTTGAATTAGTGGTACCTAGTTCAGAGCGTTGTTGGGAGGATTAGTTAGACAATGAGGTAGATAGCTCACGTATATATATATATATATATATATATATATATATATATATATATATATATATATATATATATATATATATATATATATATATATATATATATATATATATATATATATATATATATATATATATTGAAGAGGAAATAGTCAGTTTGTTTATTTCCCTCCTTATGATGTGGGAGAATGTAAGCGCTTGCTTATCTCCATTGCAGTATGACGAAATTGTTAAAGGAAAAACAAAACAAAAAAAAAACGCTTAAACATAAAATGTATATCTAAACGATACACATTTCATTAATTAAGTTAGAATTCTTAATATTTGTTCTGAAAATAAATTTTTAATATTATTTTCTTAGTCTATCCCTACCCCTAGATCTAATCCTTGCCCGAACCTTAATCTAACCCCTAACCAGAGTTTCTTCCAGGCATGTCTTCGGGGGGGGGATAATATATAATAATAATAATAATAAATATACACTTTTACTAGTGTCCACCCCCCCCCCCCCCCCGTGATAAATGTTGACCACCCTTCTCCCCCCGAAAATTTCAAGTGCTCCCCGGAGAAAAAAGTTTGGAAGAAACACTGCCCCTAACACTAACCCTGAAACGAAAACAATATTTCATAACCGCAAAACTATCGATTCATCTCTTTAAGCAATATGCAAAAAAAAAAATAATAACATTATATCAAATAAAACAAACCTTATAATTATAAAAAGTTACACTTCCATTTTTATAAATCTAAAAATATGTATGCCTATAAATAAAAGCTAAATATAGCGACCGGACCGTAGATAATCTAAGCACGTTGCGTATTTCCACTATCGTTGGTGGCTGTACGCACTTCCCTTCACAATCTGTTCTAATACAGCAACATTAACTACAGTTAAGTCATAGGGAAAGGTAATCAGAGTACACATTCCCTGCGCCCCTCACATGTAAGGGACAGAGAGGTAAATCCCCACCCCCCCCCCCCACATGTAAGGGACAGAGAGGTAAATCCCCCCCCCACATGTAAGGGACAGAGAGGTAAATCCCCACCCCCCCCCCCACATGTAAGGGACAGAGAGGTAAATCCCCCCCCCACATGTAAGGGACAGAGAGGTAAATCCCCCCCCCCGCACATGTAAGGGACAGAGAGGTAAATCCCCCCCCCCACGTGTAAGGGACAGAGAGGTGAAACCCGCGCCCAAAAGTTAAACATCGATCACGAAGTCCTACACAGATTGCCACGTCTAAAAACAAACAGGAGCATGTTCATTCCTGTAGAAAACACGTGCGCTCTCCATGCCGCAAAGTGCCAGCTACTAGCGTTAATGGTGAGTCAACATGGTGAAACAGTGTCAACGGATAGCTCTCCCCCCACCCCCACCCCCCACCAACACTGACTTTGATAAAACATTAACGTATTGCCCTCCACCACCCCACCCTTCACTCCCCCCCCCAACCCCTAACCATCACCGACGTTGATACAAATTGAAGTATAGCCTTCCACACCCCCACCCCCACCCCTCACCCACCCCCACCCCTTACCATCACCGACTTGGATACAAATTAAATTATTGCCTTCCACCTCCACACCCCTACCCATCACGCCCCCCCCCCCCCACCATTCAAATTAAAGTTATGCCCTCCACCTTCCCACCTCGAATTTTTTATTTACACTGACGCATTAGTCCCCCTACAACCGACTAAAGGCATTACCCCCCCCCCCCCATTCACGGCCGACTTTAAATATGAATTGACGGATCTTGACCCCACCCCCTATTTTAAATGTGATTTAACGGTTTTGGACACGCACCACCTACTTTTGAGTGTGAACTCAATTTTTTTTTTAAATTGGGACCCTCCACCCCGATACCACTGACTTTAAATGTGACTTAACAGATGCCACCCCCCCCCCCCCCCACACACACACACACCTACGACCTCATTTAAAGAATTATACCCCGACCCCTGGCTTAAAGAGTGACTTACAAAATACCGGAAACACCATATCCACCTCCCCCCCCCCCTTTACCCTTCCATCCCACCCCCGATTTTTTAGTTTTATTTCAGTTAATAATTTGTATAAAAATAAAAGTACCTGACACATTGGTATCTTCCTATCGACTAAGTCAAGAATTAGAATCCACACTTTAATAGTATCGCTATCCCAACTTTTATCCCAACCGTATCCTTACACTAACCCTAACTCTACTCCTACCATTCAACTTATATTTAATTTTGACCATAGCAGCTAACAAAAAAAATAGTTTGCCTTTCATTAAAAAAAATGACTGAGCGTAGTTCTGACCGAAATATATTTCTTAGGTCGACGACTACTAAACTCTACTTCACCTGTCTTATGGTTTTTCAAGTTCGAAAGGATGATTAACTCTTACTATAAAATCATTATCAGCATGGAAAAAAAACTTGATTTAATCAATCTTACTTCCAAGGGGAAAAAAATAGCTTGCAACGTGTATTTTGTATGCGCGGTGTTCTAAAAGTGTTTTACAAGGAAATATGTACTTTACAAAATGACTGCGCGGCAGGTTCAAAACTACAGCCACCGCGCAGCTTAGAGGAAACATCGGATGCAAAACGGAAGTTACGTGTGGGTGGACTTAAAAGAAAAAAAAAAACATTTGCAGACTTTATTTGATGGGCACTCAAGTGCGATGAAATATTGACGTTCAAACCTTGGTGCAAATCAAAAGCATCGCACACGTGGTGTTAGATTGGCAGTTAACGGCACACGATTTCAAAACATTACGGATAATACGGAGGAAGAAAAAAAAAGCACGAAGTGGTCTTAATGGCGTCGTGTAAGATATAGGGCGG